GCGTCTGGGCGAGTGGGAGACAACCAGACATTCAGGATTGCGAAGTGACTGGCATATCCTCAGCTAGAGTGCCGCAGGTCGGGGGAAGCTAGCTTCTAACTTGATTTTATTCAAAGGTTTATCCTTCCCACTTACCCTGGTACTCGGGGCCCCACCATGTTCCAGACAGAGTGGTAGGAATCCCCTAACCCATCCCGCAAATCTTCATTTTTTCCCCTCCATGAGCTCTGCCTGGCTTGGCCTGGGAAACCTATGGCTTCATCTCCGATTCCTTCAGCTAAATGCCTTGGCCTTCAAGTGCTTCTCCTGGGAAGAGACCCTCCGGAAGCCCAAAGGCATTTCCTTCTGCTCCCCTCTCAACTTACGCAGTGCTTGGCATCATCCTTGGCCCAGCCTTTTAACTCAGACACTTGATTGTCTCCACCCAGGCCCTATTACTTCTCTCCAGACTGTGCTTAGGGATTCGGTTTGGATGGCAGGTGCTGGCCAAGCACAGAATTCCCCTAGACCCTATTTCACTGACACTATCTTTCAGGCCGGGGATGGTACACGAGGCTCCTTTCAAGACTGGTCAAAGCAGCTCCCTCAGCAGCAGGATCGTTCATCAGTGAGACGCTCTAGATGCTCTTCTTCCCCACTCACCACTTCGGGTCCAGGGGCTGCAGTGTTGCCTCCCCAGCTGTCTCAGCACCAGAGGGCCCCAGGAGCGAGAAACAGCACTTGTAACCTTTCTAAAATCCCTGACATGAGCGAGCCATCTCCACAGAGGGTGTCAAAGCCTTTAATTTGATTTCCTTACATAAGCAATTGTTGCAATCACTCTGATTAGGAACAATTAGGCCACACAGCAGCGCAAATCCTGACAGAGACAATGCATTGAACTGCGACCGGCAGCCGGAGTGGGCTCTCCGGGAGGAGGTTTCCCTCAGTATTTGACTAACAACAAAAGCTATTGATGGCAAAATACTTTCAAGCTAATTAATCCTAAATGCTGCAGGAATTCAACATTAAGCAGATGGCATTATTAGGACTTTATCTGCATTTGCACATTCCACAGATTAGGTTTTAGAGGCCTATACTTTGTGTATTATTGAGCATTTAAATAGGTAGAAGCATTAATTTAATGGTGGGGGGGGGGGGAGGAACAGCTCCCATGCAATGCTCTAAAGCAATGTCTTGGCTCTTTAAGACTGGCTCAAACACGAATCGCCTCCTCTCCTGTCTGCGGGCAGGAGTTTGGACATCTTGTCAGTACCCTTGACATGAACAGCTGGGAATGACAGATCAATGGTTCAATACTCTCAACAGCATGTCACCGACGTGACAGCAAATGTTATTCTAATGAAGCCGTAATCATAGTCAAATTACGCGGTTCAATTCCCGGGAGGGGGTGAAGAAGGGGGAGCAGAGGTCAAAGTTCAGGAACTAAAGGTTATCCTGCTTACCTCAAGCACTTGCTGGAGATTTGGCTGCCCATCCACCATGCCCTGAATAATTCCAGTCAGCTGAAACAAAAGAGAAAGAGAAAACAAGAGTCAGAGAAGCATTACATCGATCATTAGAAGGTCTCCTCTCCTGCCCACCTTTCTGAAACTGTAACGTGCTCTTGTGAGCAATTTGGGCAATACCAAGTCCTGTTAACTGCAGTACAGCAGCCCTGGGAACTGCCCCACCAGCAAGCAAGAACACAGCACGATTCCAGAAACCGCTAAGCAGCGAGTTCTTACACATAAGCTATGAAATACTGGAACTCAAAGTCATACAGATTTGCTTAGGGGAACAATATAGAATTTTTTCCAACCCTGCAGTCAGTGCTATAATGGAATTCCTAAACGCTCCCCATTTCAATATGCCGATCTTTTCAGTATCAGTTTTGCTGCTGCCCTAAGTTACACAGCCAGATTTTACTACACACACAAGCTGTCTTCCAGCATTCCCATGCTGGGGTGATGACACAACAGAAATGCCTAGGAACAGATAAATAAAATAAACCTGTCTCGTAAAATGAGGTACGCAGGGTGTTAGTTTGTCCTTCACAGTGATTGGAGAAGCATGTATCCATGCTTTATATTAGTTTAAAACTCCCTGTTTTTACATTTTAAGCAGGCAGTAAAATATATATATATATATATATTTAAATGGGTTTTTTTTTATTAAATCTGAAGAAAATCCATTCCATTTTAAAATACGGCTACATTTTGTTTTTCAGTAAACACTTCGGGGTAGGGACTGACACTGGACCCAATCCTGCAAACATTTAAGCACATCAGTTGTTTCATTGACTTCCGTTGGATTACTTGCGTATTTAAAGTTCAGCACATGCATGAGTGTCTCCAGGGTCAAGGCTTGGTGTGTGTGTCTGCAAAATGCCTAGTATAGTTTGGGGCACTTAGGGCTGGGCTACACTACCGCTTAAGGCGAGGTAAGTTATGCCGCTCAGGGGTGTGAAAAAGCCACCCCTCTCAGCAATGTAAGTTACAGAGACTTAAATTGGTGTCCAGCCCGCACTATGTCGGCAGACGTAGCTTCTGCCTCTCATTGAGGTGGTGTCACTATGCCGACGAGAGAGCGCTCTCCCGTCAGCACAGCACATCTTCACCAGCGGCGCTACAGCGGCGCAGCTGTGCCAGTGGAGCGTGGTCGCGTAGACTGGCCCTTAGACTTGGTCTACACTACCACGTATCTGGGTATAACTCCATTGCTCAGGGGGTGTGGAAAATAAAATGCAAACCATGTTATTTCATTTAGTATCACAGTTTTCTGATCATGTCTGAGCCCCAATTAAAGTGAAGACTACGATTTTGTTAATACATACAACATCCAGACTCTCAGAAAGCCATGACAGTCTAGTCACGAGCTGCAGACGGGAAGAATTCTTAACAGGCTCCCTCCTATCCAGGAGTAACCCTTCTATTGTAGAAGAGGTCAGAGAACACGAGCCTTATGACAAGCCAAGGGCCTCAGCGCCTTATTAAAAGGACGGCAGCCTATGCAAGCTAGCCTACCCCTATGCTTCTTTGGCTGCCTAGCTTACAGCATTGAAACTTAAAAAAACCAAAACACAATTAAACTCCAATTAAAGTGTAATTACATCTAATGAATACCAAATACCTGATTCACTGAAGAAGCTGACTCTAAGTGGGAAGATTACTTTCTTGTGGCGACTTACATCCAGTGGTAATATATACCTTTTAGGGAAGAAATTTTCATTTTAAGAACGTAGAGTTCCTCTAGGTGGGTTCCTGAAGTTTATCAAGTCATTATTAGGTGGCATTTTAAGGAAGTGGAGAAACACAGACACTGTTATATTCCAGAAACTGTTTTTATATTAATCTGTATTTTAATTGTGTAACAGCTGCTGCCTACAGACTTCCCATGCACTAAAGGAAAAGAGATTAACTGCACTGTTCTTTAGCATGGGGTTTAACTCATGTTTTGCCTCCTTGGCTTGTTTTGTCCCTTGCTTAGTAGAAGTTTCTCCCACCGCTGACCCAGCGTAGCTGGGTAACTCACCCCTCACCACTACTCTCTAGTGGGAGTGCCGGCCCCCGCTCGGTGGTGAGCAGCCCGAGCTGACGCTCTGGAAATGGGCGGGGGAGGAGCGGTTTTGGTAAAAGGCCGTAAGAAATCTCACACGGCCGGTGTCCATGGCAATGGCTTCCCGCAGCTTTCTGGACCTCACTGGCATCTCATTCATGTAGTAGCTGCACCCGTTAAAGGGTACAGGGGAGGGAGGGAGGCAAGGCATGCAGGTGGCTGGATGGGGCCATGGCTGGATTACACCCTATTAGGAAGGAGAGGAAGGTGAGGTATAACAACAGGTTGCACCATGCACAGTTAGACGCACTGTAGGGATAAGGAGATTGCCGACACTGGACTGCAATGCAGGGGAGCCGGGTTCTGTTCCCAGCTCTGGCACAGACGCACTGTATGACCCTGATTAAGTCACCTCCCCTCTCTGTGCCTCATGTCAGGCTGCCGTGCAGGGGCTCCAGAGCACGGGTACTGACCTCAGGGCTGATTGTTGAGAAGCAGAGCACAAACCCCAAATTGGCTGTGAGCTCTACACTTAGATTTCACCAACTAATCAGAAAATGTGAACTCCTCAGGCACTGTAGTGGAGTCACAAACAGCCCCCATGGGTGCTCCGACCTGTCTCACCACCCACGTCAACCTGCCTTTCTGACAGATGGTCCCCTACATCAAGGATCACAGCAACGTTCCAGTTACTCCCAGTCTCAAAGGACCCGTCACCTACCCCAGGTCAATTGCCCCTCAGATCTCACACCAAAGACAATGCTTGCAGCCAATCCTATAATAAACTATCTAAAGATTTATTATATAGGAAAAGGAAATAAGAATTATTTACAAGCTTAAAGCCGGTAAACATAGATACAACAAAGAGACAACTAAGAGGGGATATGATGGCGGTCTATACAATCATGATCGGTGTTGAGAAAGCGAATAAGGAAACATTATTTACCCGTTCCCATAACAAGAACTAGGAGTCACCCAGTGAAATTAATAGGCAGCAGCTTTGAAACAAATAAAAGGAATTACTTTTTCCACCCAATGCACAGTCAACCTGTGGAACTCCTTGCCAAGGGATACTGTGAAGGCCAAAACTATAACAGGGTTCAAAAAAACAACCCTAGGTAAGTTCACGGAGGACAGGTCCATCAATGACTATTAGCCAGGATGGTCAGGGATGCAACCCCATGTTCTGGGTGTCCCTAGCCTGTTTGCCAGAAGCTGGGACTGGACAACAGGGGATGGATCACTTGATGATTTCCTGTTCTGTTCATTGCCGCTGAAGCACCTGGCATTGGCCACTGTCGGAAGACAGGATACTGGGCTAGATAGACCATTGGTCTGACCAGTATGGCCGTTCTTATGTTCTTATACACAAAAATCAGTTCCAATCTTAAGTTTCAAATGATGATAGACGCTTCTGTAATAAGCAAGCTCTATATGTTCTTAAGGGATAACCCAGGCTAAGCACTGGGGAGCTTCTGCTTATGCCTAATAACCCTTGCACCCCAGAGTCCGAGCAGCACAGAGATCCAGTCCCTCCTTGTTAGGGGATTTTATTGACTTACCCCCTTCTGCTCGGAGCTGCAAACTCAGCCGCTGGTAGGAATTCACTTGCAAGACTCATTTTCATGGAGCGGGGAAAGAAAACAGCAAAGTTTCTGTCCTCTGCCTCGGTCCTCTTTACTGTTCCAATCTAGCCTGTCTGGTGTCAATGGGCCTTCCTTGTCCAGCAGGACATGACACCATCTGCTGGAGACCAGCACTCCACACTAGTTAAGGTCTCTCCTGGCTGATGATTTACACACTTAAGAAGACTTGTGGTCAAATATTACCTTACACTCTGGGACGTAGATGCTGTAAGTGAGATTAATGCTTGTGAGCAACTCACAAGCATTCAGTGAAGTCTAAACAGTAAACGCATTCTTATAGTTCCAATCCCGATGTTAGCAATACTAACCCACCGGCGAGCCAGACCGATGCCAGATGTAGTCAGTCGAGACATGGGGACCTTGGCCTGAGCAGGGACCTGCTCTGCCAGCACCACAACTCAGTTCTCCATTGGGAAGATGGGGGTAATGATGCTGCCCTACCCAGGGGCGTTACAAGGACAACTTCATGAGTGTTTGTGTGGTCTCAGGGCTTGTCCACCCTTAGAACACTTCAGTGTGGACACTGCCTAGGCCAACGGGAGGGGTTCTCCTGGCAGTACAGGTGATTCACCTCCCCAAGAGGTGGTAGAAGAGGGAAGAATTTTACATGGGGATTTAGGTCACTTAACGCTGCTATGGGGTATGGATTTCACACACCCCTGACCAACCTAGTTAAACCAACCTGATTTTCTACTGTAGACCAGGCCTCAGACTGGATGATTTAGATGGGGATTGGTCCTGCTTTGAGCAGAGGGTGGGACTAGATACCTCCTGAGGTCCCTTCCAACTCTGATATTCTATGATTCTATGGTTAAAGAGCTGAGCAGCACAGACCAGCCTATCAAAGGGCAGCGTGTGTGCAGGGAGGCTGGGAATAACACCTTCTGCTGAAGCCCCTGGCATGGGCCATTGTCAGAGACAAAACACTGGACTAGACGGACCACTGGTCTCCTCCAGTGGCGCCAGCATGCGTTTTACAAACACGCATCTATGCAGGAGTGATTAGGATCCTTCGTCACCCTCCATGCCAGGGACAGCCAACCTGGGGCTTGGGGGCCACATGCGGCTCCTTGTCTAGGCACCGACTCCGGGGCTGGAGCTACAGGCACCAACTTTCCAATGTGCCGGGGGGTGCTCGCTGCTCAACCCCTGGCTCTGCCACGGGCCCTGCCCCCATTCCATCCCTTCCCTCCCCCTCCCTGAGCCTGCCATGCCCTCGCTCCTCCCCCCCCCCCGCCAAGAGCCTCCTGCACACCGCTAAACAGCTGATTGGGAGGTGCGGGGAGGGAGGGGGAAGGCGCTGACCGGCGGGGCTACCAGTG